CTTTCCAGAAGTGAGCTTCAGCACCACAGTGCCCACTCCAGCCACATCAGACGTGGAGGAGTTTCCCACGTGAAGTTTCCGACTCGTAGCAGGAGTGTATTCAGAGAACACCTCCATGTCAGAACACACATGCCTAGTTGCACCAGTATCGATGAACCACTCTCTTGGGTTATCCACCAAATTGGCTTCAAACACCACAGCCAACATATCAAAATCGGTCATTTCACCCAGCACATGGCCGTGTTCAGCCACAAGGGCACTCGATTTACCTTTCCTTGGCCCAGCCTTAAAGTCAAGCCCGTTGAATGAACATGGACAACAGGTACATGATTGATCGGCTGCTGAGAGCTGGAACCTTCTCCGGTGGATGCCATCAATTCAGTAGGTGTCGAATATTTGTCTTGCGATTGTTACACAAAGTGTGTTTTGAATTACAACGGGAACCTATGAACTGACTGAAGTGTTCAGTTCGTACAAGTAGAACTAAAACAAAATAAAAAATTACAACTCAAATGCGGACAGATTGAAAGTCGAGGCGATTGAAATCTTTCCGCAAGACAAATACGCCCCGTATAGTGCTGACAGGTCTTTGCGTAATGTCCCCAAAGATACAACAGCAATACACTCTGAAGCTGTAGCACACCAGCCTTCAGAGTTCCAGCGAACGGATTCGAAGACGAGAACTGAGCACTATGATATGATGCGTGAGGCTTTGAGAGTATTCAGATTGCATGAAAATGTTGTGTTTTTTCGTCTCTCATTCAGTCTCTACACTGTCCTATTTATAGGACTCCACCTAGGTGGGGGATGGCTCTTCATTTTGTAACCACTAAGCCATTAAAGGCCATTCATGGCTAGTTTTGATGACTATTAAAAACTTGTAACCACCAAGCTATTAACAACCATTCATGGCTCCATTAACAACCATTCATGGCTTGTAACCACCAAGCCATTAACATCCATTCATGACTTGGTTTTAATTGCAAAACGTTTCAGGTTTAACTCACCATTAATTCACCTCATAACTCTTGAAACTATTATGTGGTTGAAAGGTCACACGTCCAGGTTCAATGTACCTGGAACAATGTCACACGGGTTGTGTTGAAACCCAAGTCCAAAACCAACTCGGTTTATATACCAACATATGGTAGATAACTTTGTTATTGTTGTGACCTCTCCAACTTTTTTTATCATAATAAAGAGAGTTAATCTCATTCAAGAGTTCTCTATGGGATAAGACTTTTAACCATTCGAATCCCACAACCAACGTTCTGCGTGCCCATTTAAGGCTAACATTTATTTCTCACTCACCGAAAATCAGTATTGAGAAATCAAATATACTATGAGTTTCTACTCGGAACGTAGAATTTATTCTACACAATTTAATTCAATCCGAATTAAATATTTAGCTATCAACAAATCAGTCAAAATCAGGTCATACCCAATTTTATATTACTGATTTTCCAACAAAAATCACATAATATTTTTTCTTAAAAAATTCACTGAAGTTGTGTTTGACGAGATTTTACATAATAAAATTCATCAATTATAGGATCTATACTTATACTTAGTAAACTCTCGTTCGATGAAGAGAATCAAACAATCATCGAGAAAATCATCCCCAATCTTGTTACGAAGTGTTGTCTTCACATGCTTCATGGTTGAAAAAGCTCGTTCGGTTGTAGCAGTAGAAACTGGTAACGTCAAAACTAGATGGATTAATCTAGTTAACATAACATACACTTTCGATCTACCACTCTTACATTCAAAGTACATTTAATTCAAATATTAACAAAAATATTTGTTAAACATATTAGGACAAAAATGTACATTTAATTCAAATATTGACCCAACCAAAACAAAATTAATTTTACAAAATAACAACAAACCCAGCCATACAGAATTTAAAATAACAAGTGATTTACAATTTTAAAAAACAGACATTCAGAATTTTGATATTAGCCTTATTTTGTTTTCCAATTTTCAGTCCGATCATCATAAATTATTATAAACGTTGGCACAGAATTTTAACATACAAATTAAAAACTAAATTTTTTAAGTCTAAATAATTGTTATGAGAATGAGGTGATAATAAGATAGTAATTGACAAACGAGCAGGGCCTTAGGACATAGGAGGATTTAGGAAGTTATTATATTTGGGCTGTAGTTGTTTATTTACTTTTGTTGGGTTGGGTTAGGATTAAAAAAATAAAGTTAGTAGTAGTAAAAAAAAAAATTAACAGGCCTGGGCTTCACCCCAGCCCAGGCCTAGTGTGCGTCCGTCCATGGTGAAAAGGGTGTATTTTTGCAATATCCCAAATTCATTTCCACTTTCTCATTTCTGCAAAGTGAAATTTCATTGCAATACAGAATTTCACAACCTCAAGATAATTGTTAGTATATTGGTATATTTGGTATATTTAGGATTGTATTTTTGATAGTATATTTTTCTAGTTTTAGGTATCTTGCTTGACAAGTAATTCCTTATAATTACCCTAGGTCTTGTTGTATATATATGAGATAATAATATGAGGACACCACAATGGGGTGTGCCATCTTTTCATATCTTCCAAATATTTCACGGCCTTGACATGGTATCAAGAGCGGGTTTTTAAATTTTTTTTTCCAACATATTTTTTTTCTTTTCTCGGCGGCTCTTCTTCTCTTCAGATTTTTTTCTCCTCTCGGCGGCTCTTTTCTCGGCGGCTCTTCTTTTCTCGGCGGCTCTTCAATGGCAGACTCCAGTGGAAGTACCGTGGCTCGAAAGACCATCTCTCCATACGATCTTTCCTCTTCGGATAACCCGGGTCTTCTCATCACCCATGTTCAATTGAAGGGTGATACAAATTATGATGAATGGTGTCGAAGCTTTCGAAATGCGCTGCGTGCACGGAAGAAATTTGGATTCCTTGACGGATCCATCCCTCGTCCTGACTCCGACGATGACCTTCTTGAAGACTGGCTGGCTAACAATTCTCTTCTTCTTTCTTGGATCATGAATAGTATTGATCCACAGGTACGCTCTTCTATCACTACACCCGATTCTGCCCAAGATCTATAGTTGGGACTTAAGGAACGATATACTACCGTGAATGGCCCTAGGATTCAAGAATTAAAAATTGCTCTATCTACGTGCAAACAACAAGGTAGTACTGTTGAAAATTATTATGGTCGTTTGGTGAAAATTTGGGAAGAACTATCGGATTATGATAAACCTTTTCTATGCCATTGTGGAAAGTGTGAATGTGCTCTACAGACCTTGTGGGATAAAAAATGGGATGAAGAAAAGGTTCATCAGTTTTTGATGGGTCTTGATGGACACTTGTATAGTACTACTCGTTCTCATATTTTAGCACTCGATCCCATCCCCAATCTCAATCGAGTTTTTTCCATGTTGGTTCGCGAGGAGCGGATGCGCACGGCGAGCACTGAACAGCCCCAAGTCATCGCAGCAGGTTTCTCCATCAATGGGTCGGGCCTGTTGGGCGCGGCTCCGTCGAACAGTGCGGCGGTTTTCTCCTCTCCGGCCGCTGCAAACACCGCCGGCCTCGGCATTCTGGGCAGCAACACAGCGGGTGGACCTGCCGGCATACAGGGACCATTTCCACAAGCAACAACCCGCCTGACTGGTTCTTCATGGGCGGCGGGCGGATCGCAGATGGCGGGTGCAGCTGCATTCACCTCGACCGAGCAAGCCGGGACAGCTGAGGTTCGATCGGTGGCGAATCTCACATGCTTTGGTTGCGGGAAAAAGGGTCACATTGCGGCAAATTGTTTTGAGACACATGGCTATCCCGAGTGGTGGGGTTCGTCTCGTGGTGGTCGAGGTGGCCGTGGTGGCCGAGGCGGTCGTGGACGGAACGGTCGTGGCTCCCACGCGAAGGCAAATGCGGCGGCTGATATTGGCTCTTCAAATTTTTCTAGTGGTTCTGTGTTGAACGAAACCGACCGGGCTGCAATTTCTGGATTGTCCAATGCTCAATGGGAGTCCCTCCTCAACCTTGTCAATTCTGCTCGCACTAATACTCCGCTTTCTGGTAGAATAGTTTTATTGATTGGATGTATGATTGTGGTGCGACACATCACATGACGGGTTATCGGGATTCTTTCACCGATATTCATGATATTCCGCCACGCTCGGTTCAGTTGCCTAATGGCACACTTACTACTGCTCGCCAGGCCGGGACTGTCACTCTTGGTTCTTTTATTACTCTTTATGATGTGCTTTATGTTCCTAGCCTTCGGTGTAGCCTGATTTCTCTATCTCAGCTATTGGGGCATTCTGGGTGTATTGCTATTTTTTCTTATAAATTTTGCGTGATTCAGGACCTAACTTCGAAGATGGTGATTGGAGCGGGTGAGCAGTTGGGGGGACTTTACTTCTTTCGAGGGGCAGTCACTGCGGCAGCTACTCGAGTAAAGACAATGTCCCAGGATTTGTGGCATCGACGAATGGGTCATCCTTCGTCCTCGGTTTTAGTTCAGTTTCCTTTTGTTAACTCCAGTGCTTCAGTTTCCAATAAGGCATGTGATATATGTTTTCGAGCTAAGCACTCTCGGGCTAGCTTTACTGTTAGTCGTAGTATTAGCAGTGCTTGTTTTGATTTGATACATTGTGACTTGTGGGGTCCATATCGCGTTCCCACCTTTAATGGAACACGGTATTTTTTTACTATCGTCGATGATTTTTCTCGTGCCACATGGATTTATTTATTGCATGATAAAACTGCAGTTTCTAATACTTTGTTCCCTTTCTTTGCTTTGGTGAAAATACAATTCGGTGCCTTAGTTAAGGTATTCCGTAGTGACAATGGTACTGAATTCACTTGTCTTCGGGATTATTTTCGTACCAAAGGTATTATACACGAGACCTCATGCGTCGGATCCCCTCAGCAAAATGGGCGAGTTGAACGTAAGCATCAACATATCCTTAATGTTGCTCGGGCCCTGCGTTTTCAAGCTCAGCTTCCCCTTGAGTTCTGGGGTCACTGTGTGCTTACTGCAGGCTATTTGATAAATCGTACTCCAACTCCTGTTCTGTCTGGTAAGACTCCTTATGAAATCTTATATAACCGGCCTCCGCCCTATGCTCATATTCGTGTCTTTGGATGCTTGTGCTACGTTCATAATCAAAATCGTCATGGAGACAAGTTTGCGAGTCAGAGTCGAAAATGTATTTTCGTTGGTTACCCGGCTGGTCAGAAAGGATGGTGTGTTTTTGACTTGGAGGCGAAGTCTTTCTTCGTCTCTCGTGACGTGGAGTTTTGAATCTGAGTTTCCTTATATGGAGTCATCTTTGTTGGGTTCGCCTGTAACGTACGAGCTATAC